AGGGCAGACCTAAATTGTGATTGAGAAGTTGCTGATAAGCTTACAGTGGTGCTCAGTGGGTCTGCTTGTCAGGGAAATTGAGATATTCACAAACCAGCAGGTGACATAATGGGCACAGTCTGTCTCTTATACAGTGTTTTGTTTTCAAAGTGGCTTGAAGGAGAGAGGGAGTATAGCTCAGTGGGAGAGATTTGACTTCTGTCTCCATCTTTCTCTCTGATGGAGACATTTAGTGAAAATGCTTTAAAAAACTACAAGCAATGTGATTCCTTGTCTTGGTTCTTGTTGGAAGTCGATGAATAAGGGTTATTTTAAATTGTGAATCTTGCAAAACTGCTTGAATCCAGCATGCTGGTGCTGGAGTCACTTCTAAGGAGCTTCATTAAAACATTTCATGGCTGTTTGGTGCTCCAGGGTGGTTTGGTAGTTAGATAAATTGTTGGGTCACAGCTTTAGCTCATGTGTCCATCAACTTCCACATGCTCTCGAGCTGAACACTGAGCTATTATTCATGACTGTGGAGTATAAATGCTGGTCATGGACAGAAAAGTCGCCTCTCTTTTACAGCAACATGCGAGTGTAAAGCTCTGACATGTGATATATGATGTAGAGCTGCAGCATCTAACCTCATACTGGCTTTAGATTTATATCTATCTGCTGACCCGCTTATAAAGGTCTTCTCAGATCAACTCGTCCACATTGGAGGCATACTCTACCCGTCATTCTTAATGAAGTCAAATCATCTGCTTCCTGTCGCTATGACGCTTCCTGTTAAAAGTCCCTGAACAAAGTTTAGCCGCTGCCTGAGAAATCCATCTTTCATGTGGCTGGTTATAGGTCCGTGTCAGCCGCACTTCTCAAAACAAAGAGCACATGTGTCCATTTAATGCAAACCAGACCGTGGACTGACTGGGCGGAGAGCTATGAAAAATCGCTCCGAAGGGGGCTAGAGAGGACGCGGTGGGGGTTATTAGTGGGTTCGAAGGCATTAAGCCTCGTTCCCTCGTTTTGGCGTGACCCCGGCCGACCCGTGGCAGCCCTCGCCACAACAAAAGGGCCAAAGAGGTGAAAGCAGAAAGGAAGGAGATCAAAATGGGGAGAGTAAAATGTTCTGCTGCTAATCTTTGATTTCCATTTAAGGATGTTTGGTTTCAGCATCCTTTGCAGTCAAATAAAGGGGTTTTCCCATTATAAGTTTACATCAGCAAATGTCAGTTTCCTGTCATTTCTGGGATGAAAAAGACGTTTGAGCTTGTGGGTGTTCAAGACTTTTGATTGTTAGAATGATTGAAATCTGCAGTGGATCTAAGCAAGGCCACACAGAATTAAACCTTACTTCCCTTTGGAAGTGGCGTTATAGTGGCTCTTTTGGTAAAAGTACTAATGCTATTAAATG